TATATATATATATATATATATATATATATATATATATATATATATATATATATATATATATATATATATATATATATATACATATATAAAAACTAGAACGTTTTGTTTTTACATAAATGGTCATTTAGTATGGCTATTTATTTGTTCTTTAATCTATGTGTATAGATGGATATAAAAGCTTCAATGATCATTCATTATGTTAGCTAACAAACAATTTATAACGAATTATCACTGATCATTCATTTTATTTAAAAGGGCGAAGTGAAGTTTAACTATCCATTTTAGTTGATTAATTAGACACATAACTTATTTGTAATGCATAATATTGTCTTTTTTACATTTTTTGCAAATACAAATTTTACAATAAACATTTTTTACAGGTTTTTTACAAATTTTTTAGAGAAATTATTCAAATGACAATCATTATGTTAGCTAATAATTTATTAATCGTTATTCATTCCATTAAAGGATGACGGGGTGTTTTTGATTTATTAATTATAGATTGGAAGGAATATATGTGTTTATATATCAGTAATAATTAGTAAATATGCTCTTTCCTTTTTCTAATTAAAATATAAAATAATAAGACATAAATAAATTGAGCATATTTCTTCAATGAAAAGAAAGAAAAAGCATAGTAAACAATGTTTATCAATTTTCATTTCATTTATTCATGCACTTTACTAAATAGCTGTTTGTGCATTTTATAATTAATTTGAAAATTGAATTTAAAAGAAAGAAATAGAAGGAGAGAGAGAGAGAGAAAGAGAGAGGGAAGAGAAATGAAAATAGCATTAATCTATTGATATTTAAAACCAAACATTTACTAATTTATTCATTCAATTTTGATTTATTTATTTTATTTTTTTTTACAAATATGCAAATATTTTAAATATTCATAATAGTGGTAATATTATTGTTATATTCATTATTAGATAATGATTCTTTTTTCATTTGCATTTTTTTTTCATTTTTCACTTTCCCATTCTCTTGTCTCTTATCTTACCGTCTTCTCGCTCCTTTTTTTTTTCTTTATTTTTTATCAAAGTATAAATGTTGATTCAGCAATGTTTATTGTATTAATATAAAAGAGAAAATAAGCGAAAGTAATAGGATTTTTGAAATGTGAAAAAAAAAAATCGAAATGAAATGAAAGAAGTTATTGTTATTGCAGAAAATGTAATCTAAAATAGCATTTAGATGAATCATTTTCAATCATTATTGTCCGTTCCAACTCTAACAATTGAATCGACAATCTGTCCTATTAATCTACCACAAATACCACCACCACCACCACTACCACCACCACCACCACCACCACCATCTTCATCATCATCGTCATCATCATCATCATCATCATCATCATCATCATCATCATCATCGTCATTACCACCATCAATATCACGACCATTACAACAACAACAACAACAACAAGAGCAACAAAAAAACAACAACAACAAGGACAACAACAACAACAACAACAGGCAGTACTGCAACAACATCAGTCGGTTATAATGAATTCATCACGAGCAGTGGATGAGCCATCATCATCTTCGTTTACATCCGTTGCTGATCTTCATGGTATCACGGAATGTTGTACATCAAGTATATATCTTTTTTCCTTTGTTTTCTTAAATTTTAAAATTTAAAAATTATTTAAAACTCTTTGAAAATTTGTAAATTTTAAAATGGTTTGAATTATTAATTTGGTCATGAAAAAATTTTGATATCATAGTTTAAATACAATTTACATATAAATGGAATATTATTATTACTATTACGATTGATTTAATATTGTATAATTCACAAATGATTTCAATTTTCCTTTGATTTTTTTTCAATTGTTTATTCAATTAATTAATGGCAGGAAGACTATTTAGTTGGTAAAAAAAATATTTTTTTTCTATTTGAAATTTTAATTTATATAAAACATTACATTTTTATGATAGTTTCACCAGGTATACCGTTCACTGTAAAACGATCAATTGATGAAGATCATCGTAATGAAATAAAAGAGATGAATGAGTATGATGTACAAAAACGAATCAAAAGACCGATGAATGCTTTCATGGTTTGTTCTTTAAATGTTTTCTAAAATTTGCATAAAACTTTTATGTCTTTTTTCACGTCATATTCTACGTAATTTACATTACTATAAGTAAACTTTATGTAAGCTATAAATGTCCATCATTTTTTACTACAAGTTATTATTCTTTCTTTCTTCTGAAAATGACAGAAAAAAAAAGAGCAATGTTTGCATAAATATAGTAAATGGATAAGGAAATGAGTAAAATATTAATAAATGAAGGCAATAATTGGAATATAGATGAATATGATTAAATATATAAGTATATTAATGGAACAATTAATTTTTTTAATTAGCCAATTCTTACAAATAATATTCCTTGGATGATATTTTAATTATTTTCGTTATTTCAATAATTTAAATTGTCAATTAAATAATAATATATGTTAAGAATGATAATGCTATATGGAATATTTTGTAAATTTTCAATTTAATCTTTCCAATGAATATTTAAAGTTTTAAATTTTATACTTTCTTTTTTTCCTAAAGGTATGGTCTCAAATGCGCCGAGCGCAGATTGCTAGCACAGATGTAAAAATGCACAATTCACAGATTAGCAAAGAATTGGGTGCTGAATGGAGAGAAATGAGCGCTGAAGAAAAAGCGCCATATGTTAAACGGGTTTGTTCTTCTTCATTTAATATTTCAGAAAATTGAAATAGCAAAAAAGAAAGGAAAAAAGTAATTTCATCAACTATTGCATTTTTTCTTTTTCGAATCCAATTTTTCTTTTTTATCTTTAAATTTAATTTATTTTTTTAAGAAAAAAGTTTGAAATTTTTACTATAAAATTTTTTCTTTTTAAATTATTTATTGTCTTTTTCATTTCCTCTTTTTTCATCTATAATATTTACTAACTCAAAAAAGAAAAAAAACATTATTTGTTTTATTCTCTTTGCCTTTATTTTTATTTTTCACGTTTACTTTTTCATTTTTACTTTTCGTTTTTTCATTTTTTATCTTTTTTCTTTTGTCTTTTTTTTTTTGTTTTTTGATTTCTGCATTATTAGGCTAAGGAATTACGGGAAGAATTAATGCGTCGTCATCCAAATTATGTTTATCGTCCAAAACGTCGATCACATGGTACAACAAAAAATTTGCTAAGCAAATCATGTACTATACTTCCAACAACCACTGGTCCATCAATGCAACCATCATCATTTCAACAAAGGTATCATTTCGTTTACCTTTTTTTTCTCATTCAGATTTATTCTTTTAATTATTCTCTTATGATATAATTGTTAGTTCGATCGTTATTATAAACCAAATTTAGAAAATAAAAATTATCAAAACTATATTGAATGGCTTTATCAATTCTATTATTGAAAATTTCCCTTTTTATGCCTTTTTTTTCCTTTTCATTGCTATTGTCCGAAAGATTGGTGGAAAAAAATTTTAAAAGTTGAAGGAAAAAGTGAATTCTCATTTAAATTTTCAAGCTTTTGAAACATATAAGAAAAATAAAAAGAATACGATTGTACTGTATACTAATTACGATGATTAGCTTGAAATCAATTATAATTACAAATGTCATTCATTTGACTCAATTAATAAAATAGATGTGATCAACATAACTTGGTCATAGATGAGGGTTTCCACTTTATTTAATTACTAATTAATCAAAAATTACGCGCTAAAGAATTGTTTTAATTTTTAAATTTTACATTTTCTTTTTTTTTCGCTATATCTTCCGCTTTATAATTGCCTCTTTCTGTTTTTTATTTCATATCATTTCGGTTTTTTTTCTAATTTTGATCAAATAATTTTAATTATGCAAAGTTTTCGAAGTTAAATTAATATCATTCAATGGAATGTTTACATTTACATTTACATAGATATAGAATTATATTATAATAATTATTATTATTTTTACAAATTTAACAAATATGAGGAAAAAATTCCACGAGTTAATATATAATTTAAATATTATCAATTTAAAATGGAATCATTATTTTGAGTGTTTCCATATTATTTATCACCATATTGTTGATTATTACCACTTGTTATTATTATTATCATCGTTTGCATGTCATTTGCAGATCGCATTCATTGTCATCAATTCCAACAGCTCATGATATTCGGCGATTTTTCTTAGCTCGAGTAATGCAAGAACAGCAAAACAATATGTTATTAGCTGCATATCGTAATCAACTACTTGCAGCTGCTGCTACTACAACAACACCTTTAAAAGATTCGGCTAATATGGATTTGGTTGATCAAGAGGTAAATGAGTAATAAATTCTTTTTTATTTTTCCATTTCTACTTTCTGTATTTTTCATTTCAATTTTTTTCCAAAAACTACAAATAAATTTAGCATTATTTTATATTAAAAATAGGTTAAAATTATAAATTCAATTAGTGATATTTTCTACTAATACATTACTAACTTACCAATGAATTTTATTTATTTCATAATTATGATCATTACTACAAATTACTTCGCATACTTGTTAAATTAATTGGTAAATTACTCTATTAATTAGTGTATTTTGCACAAATATTTTAAATAGAAATTTGTTTGTTAAATTTTATTACAAAACATTTTACTATTGCAGAAATTACAATCAACAATGGGAAATAATATTACAACGGGTAATAATACTGCAAGTAGTGTATCAATGGCAACAGCGGAACAATTTAATCCTATTTCATCATTATCTATGTTACAATCATCATACAATCCGATCACTCCATTGCTTGGTTCACAATTTAATCCATTTCTGTTTAGTTAATTAATTTTTTTTCCCTTGATTAACAGGGTATTTTTTCTAACCTCTTAATTAATTATAAAGAGAAAAAAGAAATGAAAGGAGGAAGTATTCTTACTTCTTTCTTCTTTTTTTTTTTTTTTTTGTTAATTTTTAGTGAATTTGTTAGCAGTCAAGTGTGTGTTTTGTTACGTATACTTTTTATTGTATCATTTTTATTTATTTTCTTTATTTGTTTGTTTATTTGTTTATTTACACTTCATATGCTATCCTTTTTTCCCCTTTTTTGCAATTTAGTAAATAAGGTTAGCATTTAATTAATAATAGAATTTAGACATAATAATTATTATTATATGTTACTATTTTTTTTAATAAATTGTTTCGGATTTTTTAATAAATTGTTTCGGATCGGATGAAATACTGATATTATTTCTTTTCTTTTTAATTGATCTTTTTTTTTTTTTTTTTGAAAATATTATAAGCAATACTTACATAGGATTAAATATAATAACAGTAATTATGATAGTAGATGATTACGATTTCAAAAATGTACGTCACATCTATACGTATACGTATGTACACGTACGTAGAATGACAAAATGCACATTTTACCATTTACTTTTACATTTTTTTTTTTTTTGTTTATATTGTATTATTGCATCACATTGTTTGCGCCATATTAAAAATTCGAATGATTCATAATGATAGCATATAAACAAAGTTACAGTTATAGTTAAAATTTAT